TAAAATTTTTTCTCTAACTCAACGCATTTTTAATTTTATATATTTTTTTAGGGCGTCTCATACGGTTTTTAAGCGCACAAAAATCCTAACTTCATGTATAATAATACGTAATATGTGTATAAACGAGGTCGTTCGTTCGTTAGAATTATGATACCGTGATAGGATTGCACGCGTGCAGGCGACGCGTCGAGAGGATAAGGATAACGAAATGGCGAGACCAGGAGCGGGCAGCGTGTCGTAGGCGATAAGTTGTCGTAGTCTGTCCGTAAACAATAATATTGTGTGTAATAAAGTACACTATTATAGCGAAGGCAATAACAGCACACAGTCGCGGTCGAGTGTAATTTATATTCGTGTATATATATTATATACGCCCAGTATTATAAGCATCGTACATAAACAGTTGTTCGAAGAGAGGTATTCCGTATGCGTAATGCGTATATAATATACGTACGACGGTGGTGCACACGTCCAGCGATCCATACATACCGCGTGGACGAGACGGCGCTGTAATTTTTTGTTTTTCCTTTTTAACCATACATACACAATATAATACGCCTACGTATAAACATTAAACGTGTATACATATACGTTCGCGGGTATTCGGGACCCGTCGTTGACCTGCAGGAAATAATAATAATAATAATGAAAAGAAGTCGAAAAAAAGAATTGTAACCACCGTAGTATACTCGTGTGGTATTTATATATGTATATACGATAATTTAGGAGGACCCGGCGCGAATAATTTATTAAGCGTGACGTCGAGTGGACATTATGTACAGCGTTTCTCTTTCTTGTCACCGCGTCCCTGCGTATATTATATACACGCTTAAAAACATATATATATATATATGCGTGTGTGCCGCACTCGACCCCACGGTACATAATATTTATATATGTATATATATATATATACTGTTTGTGTATATAATTGTATAAATGCATATATACGTAGCGGGCCGGACACACATTGTGTGTGCTGCGAGCACGCAAGAAACGCGGTCGTCGTCCGCTAATAAGGTCCGGCTCGGTCCGGTAGTTCCCTTCACACATCTCTGCCCGAAAACCACCCTGAAAGTGTGCGTATATTTACATATAAAGACACGCGCACATACCTCCCGATTTAAATAACATTTCCGTATTTACACGGGACGCCAGCGCAAATGTGTGTATATGTGCGTGTGTAGCGTCTGCGTCTGCGTATGGCGTACGTTAATGTGCAATTCACGTTTGCACTATATTATTCGGAGGATCTGTCGCGACCGACGAAAAGGACGAATCCCTCACCCACAACTACCCTCGGAAAGGGTTTATTAAAACGAGAATGACCGCTACCAAGAAACGTCTAACCCTTCCTTTCCGGGGCCACAGTTATGCGTGTGTATGAGTGTCTGTGCTCGTGGACGCGTACCTACATAAATTATTCGCAATTTCCACGTTTTCTCAACCTCCGACTTATACGCGTATAAATCAACCATACACGAGACCGTTTTATAATTAAAAAAAAAAAATTCACCCGTTGACGAAGTAGTCGGCAGAAGACGTGTCACTGAAGCATAAAGTAAAATTTTTTCCAAAACTGCAAGTGACTGCAGATATACGTTCTTATCAATTTTAACGTATTGCATAACATCACATTCGCGAGAATAATAAACTCTACACGATCAAATTCATACACAACAGAAACTCTATAGATTTATTTTTCTAGGAGGTTAAGTTAAATATATAGTATGTAAATTATAATATCCGAATGCATTTTAATTTGTAATAAGAGTTTATTTTATTGATGTAACTTTATTTAATATAGTAATTTACCAGCGCAAGTTTATTCATTTTATGTGTATAAAACTAATATTATTATTTTTTTTTTTCACATTACACTAAACAAAAATAATTACTTAAATTAAAATTTATATTTCTTACGCATTTGATATATGCCTGCAATGTGAATGATTTTAATTAATTAACTGTGAGTAAATTAAACCATTATATTATGATGTTATATAGTATATACACATAACTTAAATATACAAATATTTTCTAATCATAAGTTGTTTTAAAAAATATGTCAATTTAATGAGATTATTATTGCTTCAAATGAAATGCAATTTAATATTATGTATAATATATGCGTATTATATTGCTACCATCATACAAATTTACATGTCTTACTATATTCTCGGAGAAATAAAACATAAATATAATATAATACATAATAATATTTGTATGCACTTTAGTTCATACAGTTAAACATTCTTGAAATTATTACTATTACTTTTTTGTTATAATTTATAGTATATATATGCATATTTAATTGTAGCTATACAAGTACATGAAAAAATGTGTACAGTTTTATAAGTGTACTTCATAATAATTTTAAATTTAATTGACGAGAAAACCTAAAGATCACAAATATTATATTATAATATGTATTTGCAAGGACAAAACTCATTAAAAAGTTTTGAAATTTTTCAAATCATAATATATCATCGAATAACTTATTAAAATATTAATATTGAACTGTATTAGGATAAAAATAATTTTTTTACAAAAATTAATTAAACAAAATTCGTTTTATAATGCATATGTTTATTTGGCGCAAATTATTATTCCGTTGAATATTTTACGGAGGTATATTTTAATTACAAATTGCTTGGAAAAAAATCATTCTTTCAAAACCGTTGTGTTTCTCAGTTTAAACCAACCACCTTAGAGGGGAATAAGCTCCTTTGAATTACGAACGTAGGTTGTGTGCCACTTATTTTTATTTATTTTTTAACTGGCTACACCCTTTAATAATTTGGCACGGATTTTATGATCTCTCGAAAAGAACTTACCCCCATCCGACCCCTATAAACCTTTTAAAGCAAAAACTTCTCACCCATAAGTTGTCTTTTCTCAGTATGCTTTTCAAACGGCTCTTAGAAATTTTTGATTGTTGTACGAAAAAAATATTTTTAAAAACTGATCGATTTTCTACTATAATATTTATAAAACCACCAGACACCAGACGACTAATAATGTACATAGATAATACACGTAATATATATTTTAGTATTAAAACTTTATTTTTTATTTATTAAAAATTGTAAATATTTATAATGCATAAAATAAGCCAAAATATGCAAAATAAGCTTTAGACTTGAATTTTTAGATTCTTATTATAACTGTAGTCGAAATTCACTCAAAATCTTGTCAGCTTTCGATTCGATGTTGAAAAACGGAAAATAGTTATAACAATTGAATGTTATATACGTTTGAAATAAATAATTGTACAATTCTGAGTGTTTTTATTTTGACATGTTATCCGGACCGTGTATTTTTTTAATGCTTTGACAGTGAAAAACTATTTTTTATTTTTACGATGCCATCAACGTTTTGAAATTATTTCCAATCGTCGCGCCGCGGCCCTCTTCGTACCTGCCACCAGGTATATAATGATTAATAATTATTATTACTGTAGGTATTATATAAAGATGCAGTTCGCCACGTAATACACGTAAAGATGAAGAGCGGAAGACAGATACAGGGACACAAAGAGGGAAAGAGAAAGAGGTAAAAAAAGAGAGAGAGAATTTAATTATAACGAATTACGTTTTGTTCGTATGATTTTGTATCCACCGAAGTCCTGAAAAATTATTTAATAGTACAGCTCGAGGACGGGCGGGTTGAACTAAAAATCAAACGATACGCCCACGAAATTTGTCTAAGTCACCTGACTGGATAGTCAAATGGAACGCCTACGGCAATTTGTCCCGATTGACGTGTTTCTTTCTTTCCCATTTTTTTTTTTTTTTTTTTATTATTATTATTCTTGTTTTTTGGTTTTTTTTCTTTCCGAGTTACCTTATTTTTTTTTTACGCGCGCAATAGACGGTGGGCGCCTACGTTAAGATATATGCGTGATAACTTCTCCGCCACCGACACCGGGTCGCCACGGTTAATAACAATAACTATACAATATGTATTACATAATACGCGTTATAGGTACGACAGACGATGGTATAATATTTATAGTAATGAATTACAGTAACACATCGTCTTACACGCTAATTATTATTATATGCATTTTTCTCTAAAATAGTATCTTGCTGCAGACATTTTTTGTTTTCTTGCGTTTATACGTATAATAAACGCACGATGCTTTATAATTACGCCGGAAACGTATAATACGCGTATATACAACATAAAATATTACAAGAATTTTTGTTTGTTACATAAATATATATATATATATATAAACATATAAAATATTTTACCGGAAATCCTGCATAGAAAATCAATTATGTTACGTTTAAGTTTGTCGCTTTATTTCGTGATTCTATATTATAATATACGTATGTGCATTAAGCAATGTATACTAAATTATTATTATAAAATAATATATAGTATCGTCACATATTCGATGTATTATGTATATATATATTTTATAAATATAAATGGAAATTAAGTTTGGAAAACTGTTAACAACGCCCACGCGCGTATAAATATATGCATTAACACACTTATTATTATTATTATATTTTAGTATATAGGATGCAATAAAAATGTCAAAATGAATAATTATTAAACTTTTTATGCGATATCATCCTGCACGTTAAAATACAATATTATAAGTCGAGAAAGAACAGTGAAGTGTTTATATTTATGCCAATTTCGTTCAAATCGAGTAACTTTACATGCGTTTACTATTATATTATTATAGTTTATGCGTAAACAAAAGTTTCAACGTATTATATTATTAAATATAATATAACTATAATATTTGAATCCAGTGCATGTGCAGTTTTGATTAACAGATAATATATCACACACTCATATATATATATATATATAACATTTAAAACTTTTATGCTGTTGAAGTATTGTAAAAATATTGTTCGAGCAATTTTCCGAACCTTTTAAATATAATTATATTATGTATAAATGGTGAACAATAAAATTATAGTATTATTCTCTTAAAACTTTGAAATAAAAGGATATTATATTGTTTTTTCCAGGAGTGCGTAAAACTACGTGTTTATTCGATGAAAAACGTAAGTCAAAACAGTAAAAATATCATATTTATATACGTAATATAAATAATTTATTAATATTTTAGATAGATATATAGTTAACCGTTGCAGCATCGTAGAGAGATATATTATGCAATTTGTTAAACGCGTGTGTACATCTGCTAAATGATAATATTATTATGACAACGACGTCCGAAGCTCAATGTATAGTTATAGTCACTATAGATCTTTATAGCTACATAATATATTATACTATATGATATAAATCACTGACGATTATCATAATTGCTGTTTTCATTAAAGCTATTATTTTTAATCGAGCAAATCGTCCACGAGTACTAGTATTCATAGTAATATAAATATATATATATATATATATATATATATATATATATTATGTATAGAATATGTATAGTGTATGATGAATAATATATCGTACGGTGAACCTCTTACGTGATCATGATGAATCGAGTAAAAACGAAAAAAAAACTAGATTTTGAATATATTCATACTTGACTAATATTTATCACGATGTTTATATACATATACATTTAAATTGTGTAGGTTAATTTCGCCAGGAGGTTTGCAGCGATAGGTACATATATTTGGAATAGATATATATTATATAATATATAGGACCTACAGGCTATAGTTGAATCTCACGATCTGCAGTCGGCGGTTGGAGCATGTATAGAGGTTAAAAAAATAACCTATAAATACAAACATACATATAACATACACACATATACATCGGTCGTAAAAAACGGTGGCGAGATAAACAATATTTTTACAGAAAAAAAACCTCTATATAATATACACAAACGCACACGATAATAATAATATATAATAATATTATAACAACGGCGGCGGCGGCGTCGGCGGCGACAACGACGATGACGATACGCGCGGTACACTTCCCTTATTTTTTTTCTTGCGATATATATATATGTATATACGACCCTTGCAACACTCAGTCCACACCGCCACGCCACCCGTTGAGCTCAGTGGGGTCCTTCGACGGCGACAGACACATCGCGAAAAAGAACGTTGCGGTTTATACACTGTGCGCCTTTGAGTAAACATATATAAATACCAAGATAAGAGTCGGAGGCTGCAGTGGAGGAGCGAGTTTCCTTCCGATACATTTCATTCCGTTTTTGCGCCGGGCCCCGGTCGAGATAAACGCGCGTAGCAAAAAACCGTTCCCGACCGCAGCCGCGTCTTTTCCGCTAATAAACCAATGGCGCAATCAACGCTTTTCTACCCCTACTCCTACTACCACACTTATAAATAGTAGTAAGGGTTGTCGACTCGAGTTCGATCGATCTATATTTGTGTGTTTGTATGTTTGTGGGTGTGCATTGGCGTTTGCTTGAGGGCATATAGATATATATGTACTATATTAGTGTATAACAAAATATCATTTTTTTTTTTTTTTTTTTAATCTATTTTTCTACGTGATTACATGCACTAAAGCATGTATTCATTATCCACATCTGATAATGTGAGAAATTATATATTAAGCTTTAAATATCCATAGGTATTGCCAAGTTTAGATTAGGGTAGTTCTGAAGAGAAAAGGAAAATGGTCTAATTGATATTAGAAATTTTAGAAACTCAAAGTCTCATTCCAGAAAAATGTATTTAATGTATTCATTCAAAAGAAACTTAAAATAAGATATATATTCTTATAATGAAAATTTAATAAATAATAAATGCTTAATAAATTGATATACCTATGATAAAAATATAATAAACTTTGTAAATTAGTGAATACGAGAATCGTACACAATATAATTCAATGTCTTGTGTGGAATTACATTTACATTAAGTATTTTGAACTTTTAACATGAGGTAATAATATTTTATATTGTTTATGCTCAAAATAGGATATGTTTCTGTGGCAGTTGTAGCGACGGTAGATTAAGTTAGAAGACACTAACAAAATACATTTATCTGTATATCTGTCATTGCTCACTTTTCGCTACCTTGCTTGTAGTGTATCATTGCATTTAATTTATGATTTTATTAAATAAATATTGATATTTCTATTAATATAATATTTCATAATATCTTATCAAGGTTTATTTAATTTTAAATGATGCAAACAACCGTAAAAAATAGTAATTATACATTTTTTTTATGCGAAAAGGGTAGATGTTTAAGTGTTGAAGGAAGCCTATTAAGGGTCTGGTGTTTCAGGGTCAGATGGATCTTTAAGCCGAGTTTGAAAACATCAATAATACGTGATTTTCGATGCTATAATATTATCCATTTATGCATTATATTTTTGCTCGATATTTATCTATATTGCTTCTATATTATATTCAAGTACTTATTAAAATAATTATTAAAACTACTTATAATTTTCGATTTGAAGTTATTATGTCTATACGGTATTATATACTATTATTAAATTAAATATTTATCATAAAAAGTTCGTAAAAAAGAAATACTGTGTTTATTTAAAATATATTATAGGTAATATACCTATGTGCTGCACGATTAGTCAGAACCATGATTAATACGATCGTTGTGTTTTTGATTATGAAGGATAGCGTAAAGTAAAAAAAAATAATTAGAGAATAAAATAATTGAATGAGAAATGTGCAGAAATGATAATATGTACCATCTCATCCTCTGCAAACTGTAATGAGTGGCCTGATGTCGCGCTTTGGTTGTGCTCAGTCACTAATGTGTTCGGCCGACGTCGCTAGCTCTCAGATGGGTGACCACCCGAGTTCTTAGTGACGAATCCATGGCACACACACATACACACACGTGTTCTAACCGTACTAACCGAACTTTACAAACCTTACACAAAAAAAACCTACTGTTCCTATCCACAGTTAATGGCCTTAGTTGCCGGGCTTATATAAGATCAATTAAAAAAAAAAAAAACTGTAATGATGTCGAAAATTACCACACCTAAACGTATACGTGTATAAATGGTAAAACAAAATAAAAGATAACGTTTAAAATTAAATCAATCGCTTTAAAAATTATCGTTGTATAAAATAAACTAAAACTTTATGAATAAATGTTTTATTATTACCTAACGTTTTTTAATAAATTCAAATTCACAACATTATAATATTAAATTAAGACAATTTTACTATTCGTTTTTGAAGAATATAAGTTTTATTTTTTATGTTTAAAGAACATTCTATACAAGTACTTTGTAGTAAGTACATATTACAATATCTAGGAAGGAGTTCTTTGTTCGAAAACTTTATGAAAAAAAAAAGATGATTATTACATATGCCTTTAATAGAGAAACATTATGTTGATGATAACTATATTGTAATAATAAAATAAATAATTCACTTAAAAACTATTTATTATATCAAAATTATTTTAAACTATAAAGCTTATGATTATAAAATCATACGAAGTACCTATTATAGTTTGGTACACAAATGTATAAAAATATGTTTAATTGATTGTTATTGGTCATTTTTTAACAAAAAGAATTATGTGTTTAGATCACTAACATTGACTATGATTTGCGCTTTTCATCATCGATTTTTATTGTGACTGTTTTATGTATAGATAACGTCGTATTTACAATAGGACCCGAAACACGTTGGCTAATAGGATTGCTACAAAATATATAATAGACAGCTAGTGCATGCCGATATTAAATCGCATAAAACGATTATTAAAGATTATATATAATATAATATAATATTATGGAAACAATATTTCGTTTGGTTTGTCGGAATTTATGTATTATTTAATTTTAAGCATATATTTTTTCATCGTTTTATACATTTTTTTTCGATATTTTTTCGCAGTTGCTCGACTCGAGAGGAACGGATTATTATTATTATACGTCGCAGCCTCTGCCCGTCGACTAGTTTGAACACGATTAGGGGGTAGTAGGAGAGGGTATGCCATTGCGACGGGTGAGGGAGCGGGCGGATCAGCGCGAGGCAGCGGCTCGTTTTGCATAAGCTCCGAGGGGGACGTACGCGGTGGCGGTGGCGCGCGCGACAGCCGCTGCAGTGAACAAATTGAAAACCGCTTAGTGTTTTAATTTAAATAGCGAGCGCGACACGTTGCCGCCGCCACCGCCGCACACACTCAAAATGCCCACAAATACCGCCACTCCATCACGTGTGCAAACGTATATGTATATATATTATAATAGCCTCGCGAGCCTGGCGGAGAGGACGTTGAATAACCATATCGTACATATAATATAATATTATATATATTATTATATATAATGCGTGTATCCGCGTACATATTATAGTGTCCGGTCATTCGGCCGGAAACACCGCGGTGATGGGTGCGTGTGGACAAACATACACAATCGGCGTGATTGCCCACACCCACTCACCACCCACGCGATATGCATATATACGCATCAATTTACGTCTGCTGAGGGATGAGTTTTTTTCACCCGTTCGTGATTTTTTGTCATTTTTTCCATTCATTTTTTTTTTATGGTATTCGTTATTGCGCGTCATAATACGTATATTTTAATATCGTGTTGTTGTTGTTGTTGTTATTATTACTATTGTTACTAGGCAGGTAGATATATCACCGTAACATTAACCGATGGTTATTTATTTAAAAAAATATTAAATTATTTTATTACCGTAAATCATCTAGCAAAATAGATACGCAGTATAACAATATACAAAGTATACACCGTGTTATAGGTACTATGATTTTATGATTTTGCGCTTTAATTATACATTATAAAATATTTTGTAATTATCAAATTGGATGCATTATACTCGACATTTGAACCTTTGTTTCCGGTGTTTTCATACAAATTTTTTTGCAGACAATTCCGCATCGCCGTTAATATAGAAATATCGTATACAAATATTCAATTTTTTATTGCCGTTCTATTTGAACGCGTAACTTTTTGGCTTTATTTCTCGTACACTAGAATATTATATACACAATAAGTACAACAATGGATGTGTTATAAAAACAAAAAAATAAACGTGCCGGACTAGAATTGAATCAATGTCACGTCAATTATATTTTGTCTGGGACCAGAG